GACAGAGGCAACATTCGATATGAAAGTTTCCTCTGTCGGAGAAACTTCCTCACACCTCAAGAGATGCGAAGAACTTTTGACAGGCAAAGTCAAGATATTGTATTAAGGTGATTGCACTTTGCCTGTCACATACATCTCGACAGAGGCAACATTCGATATGAAAGTTTCCTCTGTCGAGAAACTTCCTCACACCTCAAGAGATGGAGAACTTTTGACAGGCAAAGTGCAATATTGATAGGTGATTGCACTTTGCCTGTCACATACATCTCGACAGAGGCAACATTCGATATGAAAGTTTCCTCTGTCGAGAAACTTCCTCACACCTCAAGAGATGCGAAGAACTTTTGACAGGCAAAGTGCAATATTGATAGGTGATTGCACTTTGCCTGTCACATACATCTCGACAGAGGCAACATTCGATATGAAAGTTTCCTCTGTCGAGAAACTTCCTCACACCTCAAGAGATGCGAAGAACTTTTGACAGGCAAAGTGCAATATTGATAGGTGATTGCACTTTGCCTGTCACATACATCTCGACAGAGGCAACATTCGATATGAAAGTTTCCTCTGTCGAGAAACTTCCTCACACCTCAAGAGATGCGAAGAACTTTTGACAGGCAAAGTGCAATATTGATAGGTGATTGCACTTTGCCTGTCACATACATCTCGACAGAGGCAACATTCGATATGAAAGTTTCCTCTGTCGGAGAAACTTCCTCACACCTCAAGAGATGCGAAGAACTTTTGACAGGCAAAGTGCAATATTGATAGGTGATTGCACTTTGCCTGTCACATACATCTCACAGAAGGCAACATTCGATATGAAAGTTTCCTCTGTCGAGAAACTTCCTCACACCTCAAGAGATGCGAAGAACTTTTGACAGGCAAAGTGCAATATTGATAGGTGGATGCACTTTGCCTGTCACATACATCTCGACAGAGGCAACATTCGATATGAAAGTTTCCTCTGTCGAGAACTTCCTCACACCTCAAGAGATGCGAAGAACTTTTGACAGGCAAAGTGCAATATTGATAGGTGATTGCACTTTGCCTGTCACATACATCTCGACAGAGGCAACATTCGATATGAAAGTTTCCTCTGTCGAGAAACTTCCTCACACCTCAAGAGATGCGAAGAACTTTTGACAGGCAAAGTGCAATATTGATAGGTGATTGCACTTTGCCTGTCACATACATCTCGACAGAGGCAACATTCGATATGAAAGTTTCCTCTGTCGAGAAACTTCCTCACACCTCAAGAGATGCGAAGAACTTTTGACAGGCAAAGTGCAATATTGATAGGTGATTGCACTTTGCCTGTCACATACATCTCGACAGAGGCAACATTCGATATGAAAGTTTCCTCTGTCGAGAAACTTCCTCACACCTCAAGAGATGCGAAGAACTTTTGACAGGCAAAGTGCAATATTGATAGGTGATTGCACTTTGCCTGTCACATACATCTCGACAGAGGCAACATTCGATATGAAAGTTTCCTCTGTCGAGAAACTTCCTCACACCTCAAGAGATGCGAAGAACTTTTGACAGGCAAAGTGCAATATTGATAGGTGATTGCACTTTGCCTGTCACATACATCTCGACAGAGGCAACATTCGATATGAAAGTTTCCTCTGTCGAGAAACTTCCTCACACCTCAAGAGATGCGAAGAACTTTTGACAGGCAAAGTGCAATATTGATAGGTTTGCACTTTGCCTGTCACATACATCTCGACAGAGGCAACATTCGATATGAAAGTTTCCTCTGTCGAGAAACTTCCTCACACCTCAAGAGATGCGAAGAACTTTTGACAGGCAAAGTGCAATATTGATAGGTGATTGCACTTTGCCTGTCACATACATCTCGACAGAGGCAACATTCGATATGAAAGTTTCCTCTGTCGAGAAACTTCCTCACACCTCAAGAGATGCGAAGAACTTTTGACAGGCAAAGTGCAATATTGATAGGTGATTGCACTTTGCCTGTCACATACATCTCGACAGAGGCAACATTCGATATGAAAGTTTCCTCTGTCGAGAAACTTCCTCACACCTCAAGAGATGCGAAAACTTTTGACAGGCAAAGTGCAATATTGATAGGTGATTGCACTTTGCCTGTCACATACATCTCGACAGAGGCAACATTCGATATGAAAGTTTCCTCTGTCGAGAAACTTCCTCACACCTCAAGAGATGCGAAGAACTTTTGACAGGCAAAGTGCAATATTGATAGGTGATTGCACTTTGCCTGTCACATACATCTCGACAGAGGCAACATTCGATATGAAAGTTTCCTCTGTCGAGAAACTTCCTCACACCTCAAGAGATGCGAAGAACTTTTGACAGGCAAAGTGCAATATTGATAGGTGATTGCACTTTGCCTGTCACATACATCTCGACAGAGGCAACATTCGATATGAAAGTTTCCTCTGTCGAGAAACTTCCTCACACCTCAAGAGATGCGAAGAACTTTTGACAGGCAAAGTGCAATATTGATAGGTGATTGCACTTTGCCTGTCACATACATCTCGACAGAGGCAACATTCGATATGAAAGTTTCCTCTGTCGAGAAACTTCCTCACACCTCAAGAGATGCGAAGAACTTTTGACAGGCAAAGTGCAATATTGATAGGTGATTGCACTTTGCCTGTCACATACATCTCGACAGAGGCAACATTCGATATGAAAGTTTCCTCTGTCGAGAAACTTCCTCACACCTCAAGAGATGCGAAGAACTTTTGACAGGCAAAGTGCAATATTGATAGGTGATTGCACTTTGCCTGTCACATACATCTCGACAGAGGCAACATTCGATATGAAAGTTTCCTCTGTCGAGAAACTTCCTCACACCTCAAGAGATGCGAAGAACTTTTGACAGGCAAAGTGCAATATTGATAGGTGATTGCACTTTGCCTGTCACATACATCTCGACAGAGGCAACATTCGATATGAAAGTTTCCTCTGTCGAGAAACTTCCTCACACCTCAAGAGATGCGAAGAACTTTTGACAGGCAAAGTGCAATATTGATAGGTGATTGCACTTTGCCTGTCACATACATCTCGACAGAGGCAACATTCGATATGAAAGTTTCCTCTGTCGAGAAACTTCCTCACACCTCAAGAGATGCGAAGAACTTTTGACAGGCAAAGTGCAATATTGATAGGTGATTGCACTTTGCCTGTCACATACATCTCGACAGAGGCAACATTCGATATGAAAGTTTCCTCTGTCGAGAAACTTCCTCACACCTCAAGAGATGCGAAGAACTTTTGACAGGCAAAGTGCAATATTGATAGGTGATTGCACTTTGCCTGTCACATACATCTCGACAGAGGCAACATTCGATATGAAAGTTTCCTCTGTCGAGAAACTTCCTCACACCTCAAGAGATGCGAAGAACTTTTGACAGGCAAAGTGCAATATTGATAGGTGATTGCACTTTGCCTGTCACATACATCTCGACAGAGGCAACATTCGATATGAAAGTTTCCTCTGTCGAGAAACTTCCTCACACCTCAAGAGATGCGAAGAACTTTTGACAGGCAAAGTGCAATATTGATAGGTGATTGCACTTTGCCTGTCACATACATCTCGACAGAGGCAACATTCGATATGAAAGTTTCCTCTGTCGAGAAACTTCCTCACACCTCAAGAGATGCGAAGAACTTTTGACAGGCAAAGTGCAATATTGATAGGTGATTGCACTTTGCCTGTCACATACATCTCGACAGAGGCAACATTCGATATGAAAGTTTCCTCTGTCGAGAAACTTCCTCACACCTCAAGAGATGCGAAGAACTTTTGACAGGCAAAGTGCAATATTGATAGGTGATTGCACTTTGCCTGTCACATACATCTCGACAGAGGCAACATTCGATATGAAAGTTTCCTCTGTCGAGAAACTTCCTCACACCTCAAGAGATGCGAAGAACTTTTGACAGGCAAAGTGCAATATTGATAGGTGATTGCACTTTGCCTGTCACATACATCTCGACAGAGGCAACATTCGATATGAAAGTTTCCTCTGTCGAGAAACTTCCTCACACCTCAAGAGATGCGAAGAACTTTTGACAGGCAAAGTGCAATATTGATAGGTGATTGCACTTTGCCTGTCACATACATCTCGACAGAGGCAACATTCGATATGAAAGTTTCCTCTGTCGAGAAACTTCCTCACACCTCAAGAGATGCGAAGAACTTTTGACAGGCAAAGTGCAATATTGATAGGTGATTGCACTTTGCCTGTCCACATACATCTCGACAGAGGCAACATTCGATATGAAAGTTTCCTCTGTCGAGAAACTTCCTCACACCTCAAGAGATGCGAGAACTTTTGACAGGCAAAGTGCAATATTGATAGGTGATTGCACTTTGCCTGTCACATACATCTCGACAGAGGCAACATTCGATATGAAAGTTTCCTCTGTCGAGAAACTTCTCACACCTCAAGAGATGCGAAGAACTTTTGACAGGCAAAGGTGCAATATTGATAGTGATTTGCGTTAAATCTATACTTCTTCGTGCTGCAAAAGTTGATACAGATCAATCTAAACTATACGATCAATTAGATACATTCTTTTCAATTGCGCATGCAAATACAAAGCATTTTGTTCATAAATTTAAACGCCAAATTGAAAAAATCAGAGAAAAAGATCTTTCGGAATTTCAAAGAGATAATAGAAATCAAAATAAGCAACCAGAACATAATAAGCATAATAATACGCATAATAGACCGGCACTATTTAATAAAAATCCACAAAGACCTCAGCCACCAAAAATTCCTTATCAAAAACCGCAAATTCCTCAAATTCCTAAACAGACACATCTACCTACAACAAGTGTTCCTAAAAAGAATGCACCTGGCTTCTTTCTAAGCTCTGCTGCTATATCATTACGAGATTCAGACCAAAATTTTGAAAAACTACGTCTAAACGAAAAAGGCGAGCAAATAGATGAAAAAGGAAATGTTATTAAAATAGAAAGAACAAACAAAACAGAAAAAATGCAAAAAGTTCCAATCGACAGAAAAATTCCAACTGCAGTACGTCCAACCAACAGAGAATTCAAGTTTATACCACAAGGATCAATAACCAAAGCCATTGAAGAGAAAAGAGAAGAAATTCGAACAGATATCGCAGTTGCATCTGGACTTCCAATTTACGACGTTATTGCCATGCGTAGGAACTATGAAATACCAACAGTTGATTGGTGGGATGCTCCTTTTGTCGACGAAACTACCTGGGAGCCAGCTTTTTTGGAAATTGACAACTCATTTCAAAATTCTGCTCCAATGCCTGTTAAAAAGCTCGAGTCTCGTGCAGTTCCGACCATGCTGACACCAGATGAACTCAAGCGAGACCGCCACATCCGAAAACTCGAGAAAGCAAACCAAGAAAGATTAATGATCAGATTAAATCTCAAAGAACCAGAGCCATCACGCGTCAAACCGCAGACGATGATCAACTACAACAGTGGTGAAGCATTTCTCAAACCAACTGAAGTTGAAAATCGCCAAAAAATGGCTCAAGAAAAAAGAATTAAAGAGCATTTAGAGAGAAATGAAGAGAATAAGCTGACTCCTGAGGAGCGAAAGATGAAGAAACAAAGTAAGATGATGGAAGATGCCGATAAAAACACAATTGATCTATGTTATTCCGTTAAATCTCTAAATCATCCTCTTCATTTAAGTACAATTTTGAAGATGGGCCAAAAACTGTTCTTGTCTGGTGGTATATTTGTTGTTAAATACCCAGAGAGATACTTTGTTGTTGCAGAATGCGGAGAAAAAGGATTTAGAAAGTTCAAAAGTTTGATGGAAAACAGAATTAACTGGAATTTGGAACACGAATCAATTCCAAAGGAAATATCTGCATCAAACAAATGCGTTCTAGCTTATGAATCAATGCCAATGCCCCATCAAAGAAACTTTGGAAACTTCAGAAAATATGTTTTTGATGCTTTGACTCAGTGTCAAAAATTCTTCGAGAAAAATAACGCTTCTCATCTTTTTGATCCAGTCAATGCTGCTTCTTTTGATTAATAAATATATATTTTTTGTTTGTTATCATTATAATCTCTTTATTTTTCACTTAAGGCTTTAAGAATGCACTTACCACTTTCTGACATTCTCTCAATTTTTTTTGACACACAAGCTTTCGATCCCAAGATTCTAAGGTCAAAAGTTAATATTGTTGGTCAGGAGAAAGTAAATATAAATCACTCTATAGTACCTAATATGGCTGCTATACTTTTCTGCAATTAAAATAAGTAAGGTAGTCACAAAATCTAAGTAGAAGGGCTTTGAAATATTGAGGGGGTTTGAAATTTTGGCTCTCAAAATTTACCCTTCCTCACTACTCGAAGAGCCTCTCAATGAGTTTCCTCTCAATTTTGAATGGTTTATATTGACTTTTGAATACCTTTATTGAGAACAAAACAATAAATATATTAAGATTCGTATAATATTGGCATTTTTCATAAAATGAAGGCCTAAAAAACGGGGCCATTCAAAAAATGACTTGTTTTGGGGAGTAGTGGATCTAGCATCTGTGTAACAAACAATAAAGAATGGCCGTAAAAATTAGGCCTAATCTCTTTTTGGTAAAATTTTGTAAATTGATATCTCTTCATATTCGTCTGTAGTGAAGTATAGATAACAAGATGATGGAATAAATGTTTTTGGCATATTCACTTTTCACAATAATAGCCGAAATTAAGTAATTTGTTGCTAATTTTTTGTGTTTTACCTTGTTTTTAGGCGTACTACTACTTATTCATCTTTGTATCATTTTTGTGGAGCTCGTATTGAAAAACAATCAATGAAATCCATGTTTTCATTTGAAATCTGATAAAGTTAAACGTGCATATAAGTTTCTCGCTGATATCACTCAACTGCAAATTAACATATATGCAATTCAATAAAATTAGAAAAATTTCGGATTGTCCAAAATGAAAAATATAATTTTTTTTTCTCCTGCCAATAAATCAATGTCTTATATTGCATTCATTGTCCAATGAGTAGCTTATTATCTCGAATACTTATTGGGAATCCATATTCCTTATTAAAGAAGTATTCTAAAGCTGGATGATCCCTAAAATCAAGTTTTATCCGAAATTCTTCATAAAACATTTTGATAATGGACCAATATGATTTCAAATATCTATTATTATATTTGTAAGTGTTATAAATGGCAGGGATTATTCTTTTTGGAAAAATATCTGTCTCAAAAGAAATTGTTTTCATCTTTTGATAAATTTCATGTATTTCGGTGTCATTTGTTGTGTTAATACGCACGAAAGAAGCTATGATTTCATGATAGTTTCGATATCTTTCTGCCAACTCGTTGTACATAAGGTGGAAATCTTCCTTTTCACCCATTATTCTGAAAGTCGTAAGAACAAAACCGTCAATAAAAGTCGAAAATTTGAAAATGGAGAATAGGACTTCTTATCCAACTATTAAATGAATATTTTGCTCAAATTCAGAGATAAATGTGTAAATTTTTTTTCTGATGCGCGACACGCGGTTAAGAATCTATACAAATGAATTCATTAATGTCTCATCATATTAACTAAGCAGACCTTTAAAAAATTTCATTAAAATATTACGGAATACCTTTTTAAGACAATATTCTACTGCAACGATTTTAGCAATATATCCTTAAATATCCTTAAAGATGCCTATGCTTTAAAAAGGTACATTCACTATTTTTGACAAAATTTTAAATTTTCATGGGGTTGTAAATCTTATAATAACTAGATGAATAAGGAATGAATCCCAGTATAATGTGCATCATTATATTAAACACTATATGTAAGGCTAATGATTCTATTAACACTTATGAAGATCTATAGTATTTGAGCAGATAAATTTGATAATTTCCAAAACTCTTATATTTCAAAATTAAAGTGTGCGAATGCATTTAAATGAGAGCAAAAAGAGATTGATGCTGTTAAAACTAGGTGTTAATTTGCAATTATTTCGCATCACAAGAACTACCCAGTAAATTCGGCTATCTTTCTTTGCAATTATTCTCCATTATACATATAATATAATGGTTAGGGTTTGAAGAAAAGTTACTAGAGAATTATTGACTTTTGAAATAATGCAGAATTTTACTTGAAGAAATCATTAATTTATGAGTTCCAAATTGCTAAGCATGACGAAGGATCATTAAATTTGCTACAATTAAATACACTTATTGCAGAATTAAGATTTTTGAAATTAAAAGTTTGAAATATTGCCTTTTTGAATAAAATTTAAATTTTATTATATAATCATGATAATATCTTATAGAAATTAAAAGAAAATATTTTAAACCATTCAAATATTTTGAATGTCTTATCAATTTAAAATATTAAAAGATAGCTTGATTTTATCATCATTAGTTGTTATCAAAGTTTTCTTCTTTTGATGAACAACAGTAAATGATTTGTTAATTACTTGTCTTCCTTTTTCGCAGCAAAATCGAAAGTTATGATGATAATCTTGCTGTCAATTTTGAAACTCTCTGATTTACAAGTAAGCATTCCTTTGGAAAAGCAGTCCTATTCTATTTTCAAGATATTTTAAAGCCTCCATTTCATACAATGCGCAGATCTATTCGAAATTGCAAGAACTCTCAAGAAAAATGCAGCAGCAAAGAAGATTCCATAGTTTCTAGCATCAAAAATTTACAACCTTAATACAACAGTTAAAGAGAAGCTCGAAAAGAAAATATTTAACCATAAAGCTGGAAACCATTCGATATCTACTATTGGATCTAATAAAAAGTTAATTATAACATATTTAACATGCTATTTGTTGACTTTGTCCATTATATTACCATATATATCTTTTTGAAATCTAAAATATTTTTACGATTTTAACCATGTGTTGTTGAAACCATATATCAATCTTAGCTAAAGTATAGTTTATGAGTCTGTCACCATCTAACGTATGAATTTTCAAAAATGTCAAATATGTTCATTTTTTCTGTAGATTCAGCCATAATTTCACGTTGTTATACTATTCAACTATTATTTAATATTTTTATCGATTTAAATATATGATGAGATGCTTAGTTCTCCTGGAAATCGATTTTTAATCGCAATTTTAACTTTCCAAAAAAATTCAAAAATAAAAATCCCTCTCAATTTTCTAAGTTTTATAACTCGCCAAATCTCTAGCCAAATTTTTTTGGCCCGTATAAATATTGTTAGGCACTATATAGGGATGCTATTTATCCTATTTTCATCCCATTTTACTGTTATCACCTAGTGAATGTACCTTTTGCTTTAATAATTACTACTGCTCACTGAAATTCAAATTATCAATTTTAAAGCAAGGCTGTATATGATATTAAAAATTGAATATCTCAAGAATGTTAAATTTTAGAAATATCAAATATATATCTTGTTTAATATTATTTAATTGGCAATGTCATGTATTACAATATGATGGCGATCTGTCATTACGTATTAAAAATGTGATATTATTATCTTTTGATACTTAATTTGAAGTTCGCGAATTTTGTTTTTATACATTTAGATATCTATCTAGTATGGCAAGGTTTTTCTTGATGCCATATATGCTATTACAATTTCCCCAATGGTGACTCTCATAGATACCATTGTGATCGATGATAATGTGGAGATCTAAGTTCACCCAGTTTTTGTTGTAAATTCGTTCTTCATTTATTTTTTCTTGATATGCTTGGTTAACAATTGTGCTAGCAGTGGTATATAATCTTTTATATCTTTCAATGCTTTTATTAAGATCTTGAAGCTTGGCTTCGAATTGTATATCTTTCAATGCTTTTATTAAGATTTCGTTCTTAAAACTTAACTCTGATGTTCGATTAATTCTTGTTTCTCGATTAGAATCGACTTGTATTGGTTTTATTTCAAGTTTTCTTAGTTTTGTTTAATTTTTTGTCCCATTTGCTCTTTCTTTGCTAACTGGTCATCATATTCATCACTCAGCTCTTGTAATTCGTTAATGATTGTTGCTAGTTTTTGTCCTTTCTGTTCTTGATAACTATTCATATGCAGCAAAATCTCGTCTGGAAATTCTTGGAACTTGTCATCATATTTCTTTGTTATTCTATTTGTTTCCTCGATCTTCCATTGTTCAAATTCTTGAATAATCTTATGTGAATCACTTATTTTTCAAAAACTGTACGTTTAAAAAATCCTTATAAAATCTGTCAATTTTCTACGAAATCATGCACTTTTTTTACGATTATCAAATATGACTTGCCTTAAGGCTACAGCGACTTTTATTTTGCTGAGTGGCATGTTCTTACTAATAGCCAATATATTCTCTGGCGTAGGTGTTGAACATACTCCTAAATTCAAAGAACCAATGCAAATTGAACAAAAAGAGCAAGACGAAAATCTATTTAGGAACGGAACTACAAAATATGAAGGATGGGCTAGGCATCCAATATGGAGATATATGCGAAGCTTTGTCAAAGCTAACCCATTGAGGATCAAAGAATGGGATTATTACGCAACTTACATTGCCCCATTAAATATTTACATATGCACAACAGTTTCTGATTTAGGATACATCGGATTGTATTCTTTATCAGTCATCGATCTAAACGAAAAGAAATTTTCCCAAAAAGATAGATTTACACCACTCCCATTAGGCACAATTAGACTTCCACCAACATCCCTTCATGAACACACTCTTACGTATAATGGAATTGGCCTCCAAATGAGAATACAAAAATATCATCACGTCAGAAGACTTCAAGTTAATTCTAGCGGAATAGTTTTACCAAATGGACAAAAAGGTATCTATATTGACCTTCATATGCATCATCCTACAGGCAATGAGTCGTTAAATATTCAAACATCTTGGGCTCATAACAGATATAACTTTTACATGAATGAAAAAGTCAATGGCATGCCTACATATGGCTCCGTTGTAATGGGTGATCAAACTTATAACATTACGAACGGTTCTTATACAGTGCTTGATTTCGGTCGTGGTTATTGGCCATATTCAAGCACTTGGTACTGGGGAAGTGCAACGGGCGTTCTTGATGATGGCCAAAAGATCGGTTTCAACCTCGGATATGGATTTTCTGATAGAACACCAGCTTCAGAAAATTGTATCTTCTACAAAGGCAAGATTCATAAACTATCTGAAATAGAATTCCATATTCCAAGCAACCCGATGGATACATGGACTATTACAAGTGATAATGGCCACTTTGAAGGAAAATTCACTCCAATTGTTCTTCGCCATGCTGATAGTAATTTGTTAGTTCTCAGATCCCTCCAGAATCAGTACTTTGGTAATTATTCAGGAACTTTGAAACTGACAAACGGGCGCGAAATTAAGTTTGAAAATATTCCTGGATTTGCTGAAAAGGTTTATAGTAGATGGTAAATGTTTAAATACGCTGTTTTTAATTATATTTAAAATATATTTCGAATAATAAAAATTCATATTCTAATTATTTGTTTAATATGAATATATTTGATAAATTTATCTCAAAAATTGGTATACATTTATACCTATTAATAATCATTGTTATCAATAATATGTTTTTTCCTAAAACACCTACAATCCAAAGATGTCATAATAAAATTTAATATTCTTTTATGGTACTCTATGTATTTCATCATTAGTAACACTTCAATATTGAATAGTAAATATTAAAAATATTTATTTATAAGTTATAAGGACATCAATAAATCATTTTTATACATAATTCAATCAGTTTGCCTTTTTAACTGCATTTTCAACAGCTGCTTTGAGGCGTTTAGCAATTGTTGGATTCTTTGCTTGAATCTTCTTAAGAATTTCTTCATACTCACGGCGCTTATGAGATAGTTCGTTCTTAAGGCGATTGAATCTAGATTGAGCATGAGCTTCGATGAATTCTTTATCGCTTCTATGGAAATCTAATCCAAATATTTCAACTTGGCGTAGTCTAAGCTTCTGATAGAACTTAATGCTAGCTGCTTCTTCCTCTACGTTTTCTGCAAATCTGCATTCAAACTCTTCGACCTTTTTAACACTGTTTTCAAGAAGGAGTTGAACAGAGTTCGCAAAGTTCTCGAAAGGAATTGTAAGCTGATTTGCTGCTTTGAAATCTTCGTATTCAGCAGCTGTTAAACTACATTCGTAAAGAAAATCGATGTTTTCGTCATCAAATAGTTCAAATCTAACTTCGTTAAGTGCACCTTCTTCATCCGTACTTGTTAAAATTCTTGTTCTATAAATTTTATCTCTTCCTGAGTTTTTATAGATGATTTCACGGTTGAACTTAATTTCAAATCCGTTTGTGACACTTGGATCATAATCTTGGCATTGCTCTTCAAGGAATGTATCAGCTTCGCTAATTACACTCATTTCAATGAAAAAAAAATCGCAAACGTCTTTTTTTTCATACCAATGGAATAAGATTATATTCAAAACGCCATCTCTCTTTAGCTCCGAGCTTTTATCATAAGTAATACGATATTAAATGAAGAGGATACAGCTAATATAGATTTTATAAATATTGAACTAAATTTCTTTATTAAAAATTCGAAATTATTATATTTCGAGTGTCAAAACAAGTGGTATGTGATATAAAAACATGACTTTGCTGCTATTTCACATATAGTACTATCCAGCTTAAAGGTGCACTTACCACTTTCTGACATGCTTCCATAATATCAATATATCTTTATTGTGATTGCAAAAAAGTATTGCATATATATAAAATAACTTCTTTCCGAACAAAGTTAATGACTTTTTACCTTAGAAAATTTGGATAAAAAACTAGAATGTCAAAAAAATTGAGAGAATGTCAGAAAGTGGTAAGTGCACTCTTAAGAAAAGTAGTTTAAAAAATCAAAACAAGTTTTAATTACCAGATGATTCATCTTCTGTTGGAGATGGTGTTCTGTGTGGAAGTGGAACAAAGTTATATGGAACAGCACCAACTGCTTGTGATTCAATGTTGCAGTCGTCAAATCTGCGATTGAATTGCATGAAACCTTTTTTGTTTGTGGTACCATCTTGCCAATCATCTGTAAGACCTGTGATATAAAGTTGGCCTGAGTCGCTGGCTAACTTGATTTGATCATTTTCGTGGGAAATTGCAGTTTTGTTTGTCTTGCAATTTGTATCACCTTTACAAAAATCGTAATGAATGCCGAAATCACTTCCAAAGTGTGGAATGACCCACCACCAACGCTGAAGACTCTGAGTGTTTAAAGAACTGTCAGTAGAGAGATTAAGCTTTGTCTGGCCCCAACCAACAATCGTTACATCTAGCATACCAAGAATTTGACCCCATCCTGTGTTATTACCAACAACTGTGTCTCCTGTATCAGGTTTGAAGTAGCCTGAGTAAACAGATCCGTTGTATGTAAAGAGAGATCTGTAAACAGTGATAGAAGAAGTAACAGCACCAACTTCCCAAAGATGAGATTTGATCCAGCGCCAGTTGTAAAGGAAGTAGATTGGACAACCTGTTTCTGCATCACCTGGATTGCAACTACCAGTAAGTGCCCAGTGACGCTTGCAGTTTGTCAAACCTGGATAGCACCTGTTGTCAGCACAGTTTTCTCTATTGAAATCAGAACGTGGTGCTTGCATATATGAAGTTCTTTCTGAGTGTTCATCGCCTGGTTTATCCCAGCTATCGAAGTCTGGTGGATGATATGTCCAGAAGAGTTGGTATGCATTAAGTGGAGTACGTTCAACGCAAGAATCGCCAAGTATGTCACAGTCAAGAACGTACTGAAGAGAGAAGTTGACAAATTCGCCGGCCCAGCGTGAAACAGAGATTGTCATTGCAGATGTAACTGCTGGTGCCCAAGAGCTGCATAACTTTGTAACATCAAAAACCGGGAACTTAACTTTCTCGACGTGAGGATAAATAGATCTGCCTGGTTGGGTTCCTGAATAATTCTTTGAATTTTGATTAGAAGCATTAACATCATTTGGATAAGCAGCAACGTTTGTGAGCCCTGTAATGTAGTTTTTATCCACCCAGTTGAAAAATTCTTCGTTAGCACCAACTGGAACAGCTGAACCTTGATTTTGTGGTGGAGGGCGAACTGGTGACAAGAAACGCCTTGCATCACCAACAGTCATCTTTGCAAACTTTGGATAAAGTTTTGCTTTGAATGGTGCATTAGGATCATTATTAATTGCATCAACAATCTCCTGCGTGATGAGGGGATCTGAATTCTTGAGAGATCGAGCGAAGCAAGTTAACAAAAGCATTAATTATTTTTGAATATGGTCCGTATCGTATAGGGAAAATGTCATTTCTGAAGAAAATTTTACCCTATTTAAGCCTACTAATTTAGATTTTTCTCAACTTGTAGCGTATATGAGCAAACTTTAATTACAAAATGTAACAGGTCGAATGTGAGCAATATTACTATATATAAATATATGGTATTTTATGTACTCTATTGAACAGCAAGCTTATTTTGGAGTTTCGATCAAGACTGAAAAATGAGGAAAAACAAAAAAATAATATAAATCCGACACTTTACAAACTTTAAAAAGATTCAGAATATATGCAGACTATATCGCTGCATTTAGATGCATATATCGTCTCACATCTGACAATGTCGAAAGCACATATAGCAAAGTTAAAGATATCTTAATGAACAAATATAATTTTAGCATAGCATATATTTTAACAACAATCTACAAAGCTTTATTACTGAGAGACCGTTACATGAAAGCATATTTACAACTTTATGATTTAATTAACAGTTTGGTAAATTATAAATACAAATTTCAACCCATTATTGACATCAAAGATATTATTTCTGCATTCGAAAATAATGAAAACACAGAAGATTATGAATTTCCTGAACATCTAATACCAAATTCAATATTCAATGCAATCATGAATGATGATATTACCGCATTGATTCATATCATTGATCAGGATGATTCTGTGCTGAAGAACAGTATTAAAAAGCGCTTATTTAACATTGACTTTGAACTCGATCTATTGGATGCATGTTCCTATTATGGTTCAGAAAAATGCTATTTGTATTTACAAGAAAACAATAAATTTAAGCCCTCTAACGTTTCGATTGCATTTTCATTTTTAGGTGGAAATCCAAGGATAATAAAAGAATCATTGCCATTAATTAATGATTCAAATCTTAAGCTATGTTTTGAATCCATAATCGCATCACACAACATCGATTTCTTAATGTACCTCGATAATAACTTTGATTTAGCAAATATGAAACATATGAATTATATTCAAAATTATAGCAATCTTGAAGCACTTTTCCTATTTACAAACAATGGAAAGATTGATGAATTTGATAATTCTCTACTCCAATTTAATGTTGATGATTTAATCCTATATTTCATTAAGAAATTTGGCGAAAGTACAATCTATCAATTTAATATTCTCGAAGCAATAAAGCATAGAATGCTAAAAACAGTTAAATATGCTATTGATTGTGGAATTAATTGTAAAGAATGGAATGATTATCATAAGAGTATTCTTCATTTTGCTGCAGAATATGATATGAAAGAAATAGTTCAACTTTTAATTTCAAAGGGAGATATAAATCTATCTAGAAATGTAGCAGACATATATCTCCTTTCTGGAGATGCTACCCTTTCGTCGGTCACCCTATAATATTAACGAAGAAGATTATGATGGATTTACTCCACTACATTATGGCGTAAAATCTGGAAAAGATATGGTTGAACTCCTTATTTCATTAGGTGCAAATGTGAATGCAAAAACAAAAAAAAAGAGGAAACTGCTCTAATGTTTGCTACAAAACTTCAAAATAAAGATGTAGTAGAAACCCTTATTACACATGGCGCAGATGTGAATGCAACAGCGAGCAGAGGAGAAACTGCTCTCATGCTTGCAACAGAACTTAAAAATAAAGATCTAGTAGAAACCCTTATTTCACATGGCGCAGATGTAAATGCAAAATCAAAACAAGGGATCTCTGCGCTTTCTATTGCAAGTTATCATGGCTACAAAGAAATAGAAGAACTTCTTATTTCTCACCAAGGTAATACTTGAACTGTCCTTATTATTATGAAACCAAATTTGGTTATAATTTTTTTTATTGAATTTGTTGAGTCAAATCATTAGTTTGAATAAATTCATAATTTTCCTCAAATATTTTATATGATTGTCTTTCAAAAATATGTCATTCCTGATAAATATGGAATCAGATAATTTGTCATCAAAAGTTTTATTAGCAGTAATCAGATCAGTCAAAGAAATTACACCAGAAAGGAGTACTAATGATGGCATATTAGCTCTTATGAAAAATAAATCAAATTTCTACATATTATGGCAAAGACAACTTAATAATAGCAAAGAATCGAGAACAAAGCTGCTCAAATCATTGACATTAGATGCTACATATGATTGGAGCTACGGAAATAGCATTTTTATTCCTACAACGCAACTTTCCAAATTTGAATTCGGAATTAATCCATTAACTTTAATCATTTCTCATTCAACAGTTGATGAAACTCGATATTTTAGCATACAGCAAGCTCATTTTGCACAATTTGTATTCTTCGTAGAAAAATTATTGACTTACGGTATTGCTCACCCAAAGCATGAAAAAGTATGGTCATTACGTGTATTACAAAATGTAAATCCGAATTTTGGCGATTATATATCTCCAGATATTATTTTAGAAACAAATACAGACGATCTCAAGAGATTCTGGATTGATGTTGTTGAATACTACATTAGAATTATACGATACGTACAAAAGAATAACCAGGTTGAAGCTTTTAATATCTTACAAGAATTTGACTGCGATTCATACAGATATTACATTTTTTCAACAGTTAATAGACAGATAGAACCACAAAAGACATCACTAGTTTCTTTACAAGACATTATGAACTCCTATGATGAAAACGGAGTTCTCCAAAATTTTGATCAAATTAAATCGAAAATTTATCTCAATGGTGTTGAAACCGATGCAATAATTCCAACCTTATCATATTTATTATCCATTTACCCAGTTGATTCCACGAAATCTCAAAGAGAAGAAATTGATAAAAAATTAAAATTTGAATACGAAACATTTTGCGAGCAATCAGCACTGACACTTGAAGAACAGATCAAGAACAACAGGACAAGGAATTTGGCGCAAAGAGTAATCATGCACGATGTCATTAGAACCGACAGACAACATCCAGCTTTTAAAGACCAAAATGGAATCGGTTTGTCACTTTTAACAAGAATATTAAAGGCTTATGAAATATATAATCCCAATTTAGGATACGTACAAGGCATGAATGACATGGTTGTTCCTTTCATTGACCTTTTCATTCCGAAATGGAACGAAAATGGTCAGCCAACAGATAAAGAAGGAAATTTAATTGACGTAGGTGATGTTGAATACAAGATCTTCTGGTATAATGCTTATTTCCTTTTGTTGCTCAAACAGGATGAAAGTTTGGCCAGAGTTGCTGAATTTTGTAAAGAAATGGCCGCAAAAACGATGAAAATTATCAACAAAATTTCACCTCCTACATCATTGTGGCTACATATTAATAAGCTGACGGATTTGATGTGGGGATACTCTGATTACGTCATGTTGTTTAAGAGATCAATCACTGATATATGGCCTGTTTGGTCGAGAATGTTGTGTTCTGAATCTCCGAATCATTGGTTTGTTTACTTCATCGCAGGAACTGTTGTTGAATTGGCTTCGTATATGTCAAAACAACAGAGAGTAGTAATAACTGCGATTCTTACTGAGTTCACTAACTTCATGACAACAATAGATCCAATGAAAATTTGTGATTTCGCATATTATTTCATGAAAAAATATTATGTACAAGAACCAAAAGAAGAAGAGAAAAAGGAAGTTCATGAAGACTTAAAATATGAGTTTTTCAAACTTTATTGCGAATAAAAATAAAACTTTATCTTTGTTTTTGAAAATTAATAAACAATCTTCAAGTGAGAAGGTTTATGCAATTTTATCTCGTCATCTAAAGCGAGTGAATGGAAATTTTATATAACAATATGTGCACATATAGATTCATGTATATAATTGGTCTCTTTAAGCTGAATAAATTCAAATATATCTCAGTGAAAAAAGGAAATTTAGAGATCAGCCAAAAATATGCATATATTTTAGCAAATTGATCTTGTCTGCCAATTTTGTATAATTTAATAGTAATTCAATGTAAAAGTTATGCATGTTTTGAAGATAATTTAAAGAGAATCCATAAAAATGTGCAAATGTTCACAATTCATTCTTGAAGATCTTTAATTTTTCGTTTGTTATGCTATAATGTTTACATTTTGATAATACATTTTAAACATTGTAAAAATATTTTTATCTTATCATTTGTGAAACTATTCTTTTATTCAAAAATAATTAGCAAGTTGTTTTTCTATGCTTATAGTAATACTTAGATAAGAAAATAGGTAAGTATTAGAAGTATTATGAAAAAAATTAAATGTGTTTAGACGATGATAAATATGATGAAGAAAAATCTGAATGATGATTGATATATGCTTGCTACGCATGACATAATTTGTGGGTTTATGCAAGCAAATTCTCGACTTGGAACAATTCCCGAAAAATTCTCATTAAAATTATAGCAGCAATAAACGACAAAACTTGTTGTTTCCATTAATTCAAATAGAGCTCCAAATACAGGTCTATCTGAATAATATCTAATCAATTTCATCGAAGTCTCTGCTCGAAATATTGAATTTTTGGTTTTAATTCTTCCATAGAATGTTATATTTTGGAGGTTAATTAAATAATCGAAAGAATAAACTTCAAATTCGCAATCTTGAGTAATAATTATAGATTTGATTGGAATCCCGTCAAATGCTTTTGTTTTAATAAGTTTAACTGTTTATGGTGTTGTGTAATGTTCTTGAATAGCATTGACTTGATAAAGAACTGAATAATCTTTTGAATACAGATTATATAGGGCATCATGTGCAAAATAATGATTATTAGGGTCAACAATAATCCTTTCTAGATACTTATCAGATCCACATATACAAAAACCAATTTCTCGAATATTTTTCCCTAACTTGAGAATTTTAATATTAGATGATGCAAAACAATAAGTTTCTAAATAAAGAACAGAATCTGGAATTACTAGTGTTTCTATTGAATGGCTTCCTTGATCAAATGCACACTTGCCAATCTTGATTAAATTTTGAGGTAATACGATCTTCTGAAATGATCTATATTTAAAGAATGCATAAGGAGCAATTTCAAGAACATCATATGTTTTACTATTTATAGTAACATATGTTTCAAGATTAATCTCTCTGGAAGTGAAGGTGTTATTATCTATAGCATTACAGGCAATTTGACCAGGGACTCCAACAATCGCATAATCATTTCCTGCTTCAACGGTGTATTTCACACCGTTGATTTCAATGTTAATTGATTGAGGTGTCCTTTTTTGAAATGATGTGTATATGATTATGTTTGTTTATTGATTGACCGATGATTTATATTTCTATGAATAAATCGTTCTTTCAATAAGAAATTGAAAAATGTTAAAATTTATCGAAATTAATAAGGTACCGTATAATCGAATATTAATACAATTATTGTGTAATTAAAATTTCGGGTTAATTTCATTTTTCAAAAAGATTTTAGCAAAATTTATGAGCAATAACTCTAACGATTCGTCAAATGATACCAATAATACCAGAATTTCCATCGATAGCAGCACATCTAAGCAAACGAATTCATTAATAACAAACTCCGAAGTTTTCAAAATGTTCAATACGAAAGAAGAGAACGCTTCATTTGAAGATTACCAATTAATTATCGATTGTATATATAAAATTACTGATCAGACCTATAAAAAATATTTAGATAAAATTTCAATATTTAAAACTCAATCGTACAAACTCTTTATATTCGATGCAATTACTCATGCTTCACAAGTACGTCCATATTATACTTATCTTTATGCAGATCTTTGGATAGCCCTCCATGGCACAACAAAATTTGGTTCGAAACAATCATTTTTAGCTGAATTACTTCGACGAAAGAAATATGTATCAAAGATCACAGGAAACGTAATCAAGAATACATATAAAGATTACACACTAGAACAACTAATGCATGGTAATGAAGATGATTCAGAATTAGCTAAAGTAATGATGAATGATGATCTCGATAAAGTTTTAGAAAAAATACAAGGAAATTTTGATGAAAAAGTGAATAAACTAAATCTCCTAGATGCAAGTTGCCACTACGGTGCATTAAGATGCTTCAAATACTTCATGAACAAAGAAATGAAGATCACAGAGTCAACTTTGAATTTGTTGATTTCAGGAGGAAATTTTGAAATTTACGAAATTGTTAAAATAAAAAGAAACTTTTCACATGATCACATATCCAGGTCAATTAAATATCATAGTAATGAGATAGCAAAAGACCTGGTTGCACAACACAATGCTTATGACTTTGTTTTATATGACTGCGTCAGATTCCAAAATTTAGATTTATTAAAATTGTTTTACAAAAATTCAACAAAAAACGCAAGGAAAGATGCTTTCATGCAAGCTGCTGAAAACAATGACATATTTGCAATTAACTTGTTGTTAGGAGAAGGTTGTGAAATACCAGAAGAAATTGTTTCCACTCAAAAAATGAATCTAGAAATTGTACATTTGCTTGAACGAAATGGTTTGGATTTTTTGAAAGATGATAAAGGAATCATTCGCGGCGTTTTTGATGGAAATCAAGAAGTTGTTGAATATCTAATAGATAAAGGAGCAAATGTTAATGCAAGAGATGATAAAGGATGTTCTGTATTAGTGAGAAGTTGTATATTTGACTTTCATTTTCCAATCGCTAAGAAATTAGTTGAACATGGAGCAAACATTGAAGAAAAAGATGAGAACGGATATACCCCTCTTTTAAAGGCTTGTTCAATGAATCTTGTTAATACTGTTGAATTTCTTTTATCATGCGGTGCTGATGCAAAACAAACAACTAAAGACAACGAAACAGCTTTGATGATTGCAACAAATAAATGCGGAGAAGAATTAATTGACATTCTTATAAAAAATGGCTTAGACTTGAATGATAAGGACAATAAATCAAATACTGCTTTCTTCCATGCAGTTAAACATCATAATAAAACAGTTATTGAAAGATTAATTTATCATGGTGCCAAAATTGATGAAGAATGCGAAAATGGAATGACACCAATTATGATTTCAGTTGCATCTATTGATTTATTGAAATATTTCGATGAAAAGAAATGTGATTTAAATCATTCTAGTTTTGATGGTTTAACAGCAGTTTTATATGCTGCTGAGCATGGATTTACTGATGCTTTGAGATATTTGATGGAAAGGGGAGCAAATTTCTTTGCGCATGATAATAAAGGTAAAAATGTAATTCATTATGCAGCCGGAAATGATAATTCAACAGCAATTGATTACTTATTATCAATTGAAAAACTTAAGAAACTCCTTAATGAAGGAGATGTTGATGGAAATACACCAATTTATTATTGCGAAAAAGAGCAAGTTGTGAGATCTTTATTGAGATCAGGAAGTGATATGGAGCACAGGAATTCAAATAATGATACTCCTTTATTTTATTCTGTTATAGAAGGGAAAGACTTAATAACTAAATACCTATTAAAGAATGGAGCAAAAACTCAAGTCAGAAATAATCAAGGACCATTAATTGCCGCTGCCGCGTTTGCAAACATCAAAAGTTTAGTTGAACAATGTTTAAATGATGGTGCCTTTTATGATGATCAAACTGAAAAAGGAAACACTGCTTTGATGTACGCAGCGATGAATGATGATTTCCAAACAGTTCAATTACTTGGTTCAAAAGGTGCTGATGTTAAGCATAAAAACAAAGATGGGAAATCAGCAATTGATTTCGCAGAATCTTCTTCGGTAATAGCATATCTTGAAAAAAGAGGAGCAACTTATGCAGAAGAAAATAACGGTGAGCAAGAAATGTTTAAAGAAGATGGATATTACTGTACTGAAATTGAATTTGAATAAATATTATTTGTATTTTCCGAAATAATTTATGCATCTTATTGAAATACTTTTGAGATGTTACGCTCTCTTAATTAATTTACAACTATTTAATTATTTTTTATGTAAAAAATACATACCCTATATTATGTCGTGATATAAGGAATTCATTTTTGGCGTTCGGAACTATTTTGTGATGATTTCTCTGATAATTCGATTAGCTAATTGTGTTGAAACAACCGATAAAGTTAATATTGAATTACTGGAGCCGATGTTTGATTTATCACAAAATCGTTGGGTATTAGGAAACTCAACATATAACGAAAGTGAGTATTATATTTTCTATTCTTGTACTACCAGAGAAGTTTGCAACTATTATAACGAATCAATAAACAATTTATCTGACCTTGATCTACGTTTCATTAAGGTAAAAAGCGATTTTTCCTATAATAATTTTAGTTTTACATTATCATATAATAGAACATATCACTTCTCATCAGTTTCGAACTATTCAGACATATTTGAACCCATTCAATACTTTTACGGTAACGTTACATATATAGAAAATCTAAAAGATTTTCAAAATAGCAGCTACGTTACAATAGTTTCACCATGCAAAAACTATAATAACATGAGACGATTGTCTGACAATCTATATGAAAAAATCGGATTTGTAAATGTTATTACAACTAATTCAACGAAATCTTGCAATCTATGGAACCCATACGAAAAAAGATTCTACGAATTTGATGGAACTGAAGAAACCTTTATTTCTACGCTCAATAGAAACATTTATGAACGAAATTTCAGACATTTAATGAGATATGATGAAATTGCATTAATTTTTACTAACAAGCACCCTACTAGAACAGAACTCCATATCATGCACAAAGCAATGTCAGTTTTTCCAAAACTTAGAGTTATGTTTGGAAACCAGGTTATTCTTCATGATTTAAGCTACTTGGCAGTGAATTCTAGTGTTAACTTTGTCTTGCTATACCCCTCGCATGCTCTTTTCTCTGTTATTCAAAAGAAAGATTATTCTCGATTATTAAAGCTTGCAGAAAGGCAAATTAAAGATGAAATTAAGCTTGCACGAGAACTGATGAACGAATCTTATATACCACCAAATGAAACAACTCAAAAACGAAAACAAAAAATTGATTGTTCAGGAAGGAATCCTTACACAGTTCCAGCTCAACTATATTATGGTCCTCCATTAACTGAGAGATAATTCGACAGATCCAGATGCTTTATTAAACGAAATTTGGAAGGAGATAATTTTTCTCAGCCATTTTATGTCGTTGGATCAAACAATACATGGTTTAACTTAATCTTACCAACAAATATTTCGAGAAGAGTTTCACAAGACGAATTTTGGAATAAGTTCTCAAATTTAACTTATAATTTGACAGATCATATCCCATGGAATGAGTTTGGCCCTGGAATGCCACATTACAAAGAAATTTTGTTCGACCACGAAGGAAATCAAATCAATAAGACTTTCAAGATCAATTTACTTAATTCTACGGACAAATATTTCCATGGCGGAGAAGATAGAGCCAATTTCAAAGATTTGACTGAGTCAATTCAGAAACAATTAAAATCAAAATACATATATAAGCCAATGCATCCATTTGAGCGACTAATATTCAATTGGTTATATTCGGCTTGTAATTCTTCTAGTTGGTATCCTCTTTCTGTCCCTTCAAACCAAGATTCAATTTTTAATACTTTACCAGCTTACAAGCATCTAAATAGCGGGAGCTTCGGATCATTCTACACAGGAGAATATGATAAATGCATATTGTTTTATGATTCTACTGCTACAAGTGAGTTAATGCACTATTTGTTTTCAAAAGTGGCAAGTTTGGCCAACCAAACTCATTCCCAGACCTTAAATTCGGAGCAATTAATGTAGATTTGAACTATGCGCAGTTTATGCCTAGAAACATTTCCGCTCCATTAATTATGAAATCTCGAGTTCCATTTGTTGCAGTTTTACCGCAGCAATGGTATGGTTTTAAGCCATTCATTGTTAATGATCCATCTAAAATTGACACAATCCTATCAAAATACCAAGGAAGACAAAGATTTTCCCATCCTGTTAATGCTGTACCGTATATTTTCAATGAGACACTTTGGAATCCAACTTACTACGATTTGCTACTTAAAAAGATGAAAATTTTATCAAAGAGACATACATTTGAGAAATCTCCAAGTGGAAAGTCATGGATTACAAATGAAGTGTTTTACTGGAGTTTCCAGTTTTGCAGACAAAAATATTTTTAGTTTTAATGTTTGAATTTATAAATCTTGTTCTGTATTTTATTCAAATTTTTTAAAAATTTACTGAATTTCTCAACTATTAGTATAAATTGGTGTTTCGGTACGAAAATATCTATATATGGATATATGAAGGATACTTCTCAGTAATAAAATATTGAACTGATAGCTTATAACAAATTTAGTAGCTTATGGTTTGGAATCCTTAGATTTTAGTCTGCATATATTATTTCTTTAATCAAGTTTGAATGAAAATTGCAAAGGTTAGGAAGAAAGTTTGAGTAGAAGTGAAAGAAGGATGGCATGTTTTGAGAAATGATGTAAAGTCACTCAAAATCGTAATTTGACATGCACCGTCATAGAAAATTGTGTTTTCGGGTTGTGGGATTTCTGGGTTTCCGCCGTTAAGCATGATTGCGTCGGTGAATGTGTATCCCGAGTAGTGAATAGGTTGATGTGTATGAAAAATACTATCAAATCCTGTTGATGACTCATTAATTGCGTCACATCCTGTCAGTCCTGACACGAACGAAGAACCGCCAGCACCACAACTAATAACACAATTTGAACTAACACCACCACCACCACCATAATATCCAGAACCACCTGATGGCCGAGTTAATCCTTTATTCACATAACCTCCAATTCCAAATTTAGACGATATATTGTTCCAAATGGCATCAATTCCGCCATTTGTTTGATTTCCGCCTGTTGGAATTGTATTGAAGCAGGAGTTTTCAATTTTATCATCACATTCTTTTTTCAAGCAAGGAGAATTTATTGTAAGAATACCATCTTCGCCTTTTAGACCACCACCACTACCTCCGGTGATATTGTTATAATGGTCACAACAACCACCTCCAGCACCGGCCACCATGATTCGGCTCTTAAGACTTTCAAAGGAATTCCAATCACCGGGAACAAGTCGAATATCAGAGGAGCCACCACCTGCAGTTGTTGTGCGCATGTATAATGAGCCTGGAGTTCCTCCGTTAAAGGTTATATTTGTCGATTCGGTTCCTCGTTGGCCAAGATAAATATAGAAAACAGATGGAGTTGAGAGAGAGATTGTTCCTCGAACATATGCACCGTAGCTTCCATATGAATGGTCTGGGAAGCCACTGCCGGCACCCCATAGCTCTATCTTATATTCACCGGGAGTGAGGAGGCCCATATATGGAGTGCAGTCTGACCCTTGGCAAGGGTATTTGAAGATTGCTCTTCGGCCTCCATCGTAGTACGTGATTCTATTTGTGCCGAGAGACTTGTTAACAACATGGAAAAGATGCTTAGTATACTTTTTGTATGCTGAAATAGCACCTCTATTTCATTAAAAATATGACATTTTTGAACATAAAAGAATATTTGTGTATTTTTACACTGTTCATTGAAATTAAAATTACTTTTAACGACTTTGAAATGGAAAAGCATCGATTAAATAATTATCTAAATTGGATTGTCATTCATTTCTTGAATTTCCTTTCAGATACAATAATAACATATTGAATACATTTTTGTTATCAATAGATGAGAAATAATATTCATATGAATCAAATTTTTATCTTGATCCAGGTAAAATTGATTAGATTAGTTATTGTTTCCAATGCGTATAGAATATGTAAATAAATATTCTGTTATTTAATTGTTCATTCCCCAAGGGAACTTATTTCTGAACTTTACATTACTTCCCCATTATTATTTCTTGAAGGATGCCAAAGCAGATTCTCTGTGTAGCTGAGAAGCCATCAGTTGCAAGAGAAGCTGCTAACATTCTTTCTAATGGTCACATGGAAACGAAAAAAGGTAAATCCAAATACAACAACAACTTTGTTTTTCATCGCAATTTCCAAGGTGAAGATGCTAAAGTTATCTTCACATCAGTTGCAGGTCACGTTCTAAACTATGATTTCCCACCAGAATACAAAAACTGGGAAACTTTTGGAAATACCAAGTTATTTGATTGCCGAATTATCAGTGGTGTTACAAGCAACATGCAAGATGTTGTTGACAATCTTCAACAGCAAGCCAGAAGTGTCAATTTAGTTTTCCTTTGGCTAGATAATGATCGAGAAGGCGAAGGAATCTCAGAAGAAGTTGAAGAAATATGTAAACAAGTTAACCAGCGCGCAGACTTCAAACGTGCCCGGTTTTCAGGCCTCTCACCACGAGAAATTATCCATGCATTCAATAATCCCACACCTATCAACAGAAACGACGCAGCAGCAGTCAAACTACGCCAAGAAATCGATCTACGTATTGGAGCCGCCTTCACACGCTTCCAGAAGCAGTTCAAAGGTATGTTACAAGATGCCGATCTTATTTCATTCGGATCATGTCAATTTCCTACCCTTGGCTTTGTTGTAGAAGCCTTTTTAAATCACATCAAACATGTTCCCGAATATTTTTGGAAGATCGACCCTATAATCACCAAAGACAACATAAAAGTGACTCTTAAATGGGACAGAAAACGATTATTCTGTAAACTGTCAACATTTGCCATCTACGCCTATATTCTTGACAATCCGATGGCAAAAGTCCTCAAAGTTGATGAGCGCCAAGAATTATCGTTCAAGCCATTACCGTTGAGTACTATTGAGCTACAAAGAAGATGTTCAAAGTACTTGAAAATCAGTGCGCAAAGATCAATGGACGCCGCTGAAAAATTGTATCAAAACGGTTGCATATCGTATCCAAGAACAGAAACTGATTCATTTTCATCGGATTTCAAGTTCTTCGATGTTGTAAATGAACTCACAAGATTCAACGGCCAAATCGGACAGTACTCCAATAAAATCCTGCAGCAGATTGTTCCCCCAAGAGCTGGAAAGCATTCGGATAACGCACACCCTCCAATTTATCCGATAAAAGTGCCAGATAAATTTGACACTCCCGATCAACAAAAAGTTTTTGATTTTGTTTGTCGTCACTTTTTGGCCTGTTGTTCAAAAGATGGAGTTTCTTTGGCAACACGTGTCACTTTTGATATTAATAGTGAGAAATTCCATTTGAAAGGAACAAGAGTATTAGAAGCGAATTGGCATGAAATATATCCATACATTCCTTTCAAAGGAAACAAAATTCCTCAATTCAAAATCGGAGAAAACATTTTACCTACAAAAATTGAATTCAATGAAGGACAAACAACAGCTCCTCCTTTACTAACTGAACCTGATCTCCTCAAGAAGATGAATCAGGAAGGAATAGGAACAGATGCAACGTACCAAGAACACATTTCAAAAATTTTGGAAAGAAAATACGTTGTTCAAGAAAACAACTTTTTTAAACCGACACCGCTTGGTTTGGCATTAAATAATGGTTACGAAGGAATGGGATTCGATTTCATGAAACCAAAACTGAGAGCAGAAATGGAACAAGGATTGCAGGATATATCAAGTGGAAGACAAACTTATGATGCTGTAAGAATTAATTTCATCAAACAATATAGAGATGCATATGAAAACGCTGAAAGAATGTACGCGGTTTTAATGAGAGAATTCGCAAGACAGAAAAATAATCCGTACAACGCTCCTCTCCCTGTGGAAGGACAAGTTCCAAAAAGAAGTAGTGCGGTAACTGATGACAAAACAAAGAAAAAAGATTCGTCATCAACAACAAGAAAACCAAGAAAAACTAAGCCAAAATAATTTAATTTTTTGACAAATAATCTTCTCAATTTAACTTTTGACATGTAATGTTCTGAAAATTATTTTTGACATATAATCTTTAGAATTTTGACTTCACTTTTCTACGAATATAATTAATATTCCAATAATTTTGTCGGTATCTTGCAATTCAGTCTACAAGAGATTCATAACTTTTATCAATTTAGTTTTCAAGATAAATTTTCTTACATTATGAAATTAGATGACGAAATTGAGAACAAACGATACTTTGTCCATGTAAAGTTTTGTTTGTCAAGTATCGTTAGTCAAAGAAAAAAAAATTATATAATTATATAAAGATATATATTATTTATGTTAAACATCATATTTTATTGTTATTATTATAAACGATATTGTTAAGCTTTTAAAAAAATAAATAATTTTTTTCCTTGAAATTTCTTAATTTAGTCCGAAATCATAAGTAAGTATGATAAATAAAGATAAACTCAGAAGATATTGTAAGAAACTGATCGTTTTATAATGCTTCTGTCAATTTTTGCTGATAGGATTAGAATATTAAATTCATGAACATGTGTTTAATTGGATTGTCATATGTCAAATAAATTACTCATATATAAGTCTTTGATTTCAATAGAAATTACTAATTTAAATGAAGGTCAATCTTTCTGAAAAAGCAATTCTGTTGATTTTGAATGAAATTGCATCGGGAATCTACAGAATATATTTGTTGAAAGAAAATTTCAATAATCAAAGAAAGATGTTCCTTTAAAAAGATCGGAAATTGAAATTTAAATTGAAACAACCATTTTTGAAAATTCAATCAAGCTATTGAATTCATAACCGATGTTTCCTGAGTGAGGATCATTAATTGCAATAAAAATTTATTTTCCGCTCATACAAAATTTTTCAATTTCGACATTTGGTAGTTCTAGATTTTTACTTAATATCTTGCGTTGATATATGATAATGTTTAAGATTATCTGTGTAGTTAAGCAAAATCTTAAGTATAACTTTTGTTGTCAGCAAATCGGTTCGTCAAAAAATAAAAGTGTAGTAAAATTGATGTTTGTTATCTCTAGTTTAATAGGTGTATAAAAAATTCTTTTGAATAGAAATTGATAATTTGGATAGCCGGGAAAACCATCAATATTCATTGAAAAATTGTGAGAATGAACTGGCTATTTATCGCATCATCTAAATAATAAAATCAGATAATATTTTGGTTAGAATTCAAGATGGTTAAACAAAGGATGATTGAAAACTTGCTTTGAATTAATTGTATCAACGTTAAATATAACACTTCTGATATTATATTAATCATTTCTTAAATCATTCTGAATCTTTCTGAATGTTTTCCCTTTCAAAATAATCGTGGATTCAATGCATATGTTAAAATTTGTGAAAGTTCTTAAAAAATATTAAATTATAAAAATGTATTCATCTATGTTATATGTGTTAATTTTCAAAAGCATAAAAAATGACAATAGCCCTCAATTAATTCAATCTCTCCTATCATGTAAATTAGTTAAAAGCTTTTTACAGCTCTCAAATTTTTTATTATATAATATTACATAATATCAATTATTGAATCTGAAATTCCGAAAAACACATCATCAAATTGAATAGTCATAGAACCTACCGAACATTCATTTTACTGATGTACTCTCCAAGTATGTCATCCAGCGAATCCTGCAGTGAGTTCAATGATTCTGATCATCACATCATGTTCCCAGACATCTATACATTAATGATGAGCCGTGGAGTCACCATTGACAAGTCAATGATGACAATTTTACCACCAGAGATCACTTTACATGAACCTGAAGTCAACATTGACATATCCCTCAAGAAGAGAAAAGAGGGCAAGCGCACTCTCTTTTCAGATTCCCAACGTTCTGTCCTTATGCACTGGTTGAAGAATCATCAGAGCAATCCTTATCCGACATCCTCCGAAAAGCAAGAGTTGATGGAGAAAACAGGTCTAAATCGTGACCAGATCAATGTTTGGTTTACAAATAACAGAGTTCGTCACGGAATGTCATCATCTTCTCACCACCGTGGCAGAAGCTCACATTCACACTCATTCTCACTACACGCTTCCCATTAATTGCCCTTGTTTGTATCTAAAAACTGTTTATAATTCTGTCTTTAATTTTCTAATTTTTTTATAATTTAAATTTCAAACATGAGTTATATATAATTCACATTTTCTCCTTCAATCCATCAAGGGCAAGAATTATTTTTGGGTTATTTATTAATCCGGTAGAATCAACTAATTTAATCTATTCCGTTTGTATAAAATAAATAGTGATTTATATATAAAATTGGTATAATAAAACATTTTCTAATAAATTTAGAAAAATTTAGAGAAATTCATATAATTTTTTCGATTATTTTGTTTGTATTTTAAATATATAATACTTTTTAATGAAATGCAGTAATTTATGACATTATGAATTATAAGTATTCAAAGATAATTATATTTTTGTTAATTCACCTTTGAAATCAAAAATACTTATTTGCAAAAAATCACGATCAATTGAATTCTTTCCTGTTTGAGTTATTTTGAAAGATACAAAATATTCGTTTGTTTGAAGTGGAAATTCTTTGATTTCTTTTTGTTGAAATTCATAATATTTATCATTATCTAATACAACAGTTGTTCCATCTTCTTTGATTCCTTCTAACTTCCATCTCCTCAATAAACAACTATCATGCGTAATTCTAGATTGTAACGTATAAGATGTTGGTTTTAATTTATATCCTTTTAGATCTGCTTTTATCCATGAATTAGGGGAACTATTAGTAGAGAAATCAAAATCATTTCTATAAGAATTTATATCTGATAAACTTCCATTATAAACAGATGAAGCTGTAAATTCCATTTTAATTTCGTTATAACCTACTAACTTAGTTCCATTAACATCAAAAGAGTTATTTGATATTGTAAATTGATTTTTAATAATAGGTCTTTCGAATGTTGAAATAGGTTCATTTGAGATTTCAATATTTTCTCGAAGATTTGAATGATAATTCTTTAATGTTTCGTTATATATAGAAAGAAGAACTCTTTCGAATGAATGTTCAATACAAAAGTTATAAATTATGTCATATGTTTCTCGTGAACAAAATGTAAGTTTGATGTATCTAAATAAGTCAAACAATGTATCATTCTGTTTGCAGATTGATAAAAGTAAAAGAGATAAATGATCTTCGTTGTCGATCTTTAATTCGTCTGAGGTAATGATTTTTTCACAAAATTCATAGCCATTTTTCGCGAAATGTTCAATGATATCTTTGTCATCTAAACAATACAAATGTGATGAAATGAATCGAATGCATTCGTTTTCTGTTATAATATCATTTTCAAAAACTGAAATTTCATACTTTTGAAAAACGTTTTCTTTTGTAATAGATTTGTCTAATTTAACATGCTTTGCATATATTTTTATGAATAATTGATTTCCAAAATGTTTTCCAATTTCAAATATATCATGATAATGTGATTCATCTTCTTCAAAGTCAAGTTTTCCTGTTTCAAGAAACTCTGAAAGTATGACAATTGAATCTTCACATTTAAGATCTAGATTTGTTTGATATGATGATATGGTATTATCAAGAAAACGTTTTTCATGGAATAAATCTGAAAAACAAACTGCAGAAGACTTCTTTGTTTTGATTATTTTACCATTAATATTGATATTAAATCGTCCGCACTCTGTCAGAAAGCCAACACGCTTTAATTCTTTGCATGATTTCGTTATTTGCCCCATGATAAAAAAAATTATGAAAAAATTTACCACCATTTCTTAAATATAAAATTTTTATCATATGGTTCTCTTTCCCAGGGATTCATTATGAAATTATCACATTTAAGATCTAGATTTTCTTCATATGATGATATCGATTTATTAAGAAAGTATTTTTCTTGGAATTAATCAGAAAAACAAACTGCATAAATCTTCTTTGTTTTAATTGTTCAACCATTAATATTTATATTTAAGGGTCTGCATTCTTTTAGAATGCCAACACGCTTTAATTCTCTTCATGATTTTGTTTTTTGAACCAGAAAAAAAAATTATCAAAAACCAACAATAATATTTAAACGTCTTTCTTGGAATAATCAATATCCTTGTTTCTAAAAATGAACACGTATTTATATAAATTTGATTTTCTTTGATTTCGAGATATTGATTCATTGGAGGTTTGGTTTTCATCTAAAAGAGACTGATGAAAATATTTGATTTCTAATGTGAATTAATGCTATGCTAAACAGCAGAGTAAATTTATAAATTTAGATTGTTTTTTCCAGATTCTGATATTTTTCATATTTTTATAATGGAAATCGTATATAACTCAGCACGGATAAAATGAAATTAAGATGTAACAAGATCAACCAATTTTCAATTCAAAATAAAAAGTTTCGATTTTTTTTTATACGAAATGGATGATGAAATTGCTGAATTAATTGAATAATTAGAGCTTATGGATCAAGAAAACGCCGAACTCAAGAAAAAGCATGATGAAATTACTTCAGAAAGAGACAATCTCAAAAATTCAAATTCACAACTCTCAACAGAAAATGAAGAACTCAAGAAAAAGGTTGAAACCGTGCACCGTACTCAAACTATATTTTAATAGCATCGGCGTTGAATATAATAGATCTTCAATTTGATTTCAGTATATATTTTGTCACTTTTTGATAATTTATGTTCTCCTTTTTTCTTATTCTATATCAACAGTATCGAATACATAACAAATTTGTATCCATCGATTGCTAAAAATAATTATGACAGTTGTCTTTCACAAGTTCTTGAAATAGAACTTCCTGAAATTTTTTGTTTCAAAAGTATTTTAATTACGCCTAAATTCCATAAACAAAGCAAAATGTTTGCTATTAACCCATATAAAACATACAACATCACAAGTTCTAAGTCAGTTAAGTTCGAAGGCCAACTTTTTGAACAAATTTCGCCCGAAACCCATAAAGTTATTTTCCGTGTTATCACTGATTGGTATCCATCCGATTGTATACGCCTTAAAATCAACTACAATGGCACAAAAATATATTCTTTAACAGAAAGAAAATTTAATTTCATGTATATTCTTACTTTCATTATCAATTGTGCGTTAATTTTATTTTCAGTTTACATATTGATACAGAGCTTCCATATCATAGCGTTACTTATAATTGTAATTATAATTTCTAGTCCTCAATTAGATATTCGAATGAATATGAAAGTTACAGCAAATGATATTTATGCAAATTTGTTTCCATATAAAAATATTGATGATAATTTATTAAATTTCTCAGTGAATAAACTTAAAGAAAGTTTTTACAAGAAAATTGATTATTCACAATGCGAATGCTGTTACATTGATAATGAAAATAAAGAAAAAATTATTAATAGTAGTTCCACTGAAAGAGATGTTTGTATCATGACAAACATTGGTAAATCACCAGAACCATACTCCGCCATCAGTTTACGAAGTGTTGGTTTCAGAGGTAAAATCTTCATGTTCTCAGATAAACCTATTGATTCCAAATTCGAATTATGTGGTGTTGAATGGATTCCTACCACATTATTTTGTAACATCGGATACGAAAAAATGTATCAACGCTTTTATTCTATCAAATCTTTTATTGAGTTATTTTATTACGATATTGATCGAATCCTTTATTTTGATTGGGGTGACACGCATTTCCAAAGTGATCCATTCACATTTAAAGATAAATCTCTTCATGTAAGTGATGAAAAAATCAAGATAATGCAAGAAATATTTAATTTGAATTGGATCTTAGAAATTAATAATTTAAGGCCAGAATATTTTGGTGATAATAATGTTATTTGTGCTGGACTTTTCATGGGAGATAAAGATTCTGTTTATCAATTGGTTTCTGCTTTGTCTTCATCATGGATTCCTGGTGAAAAACAGCTGAATGATCAAACTATGTTTAATGTATATGTTTACGGAGAAATTCCAAAACTTCTGGGCATTCATATTACACCTGACCCAAATTTAGCTACCATAGGAGTGGCTTTGAATGGCAAATCTAAAGGAGATATTTTGTTTACTGGCAAACTTGGTTCATTTCATGAGATCAGCAGTGATTTTAAACCAGCTGCTATTCACCAATACAATCGAAATGATGAATTAATTGATTTATTTTCCACTCAATGTCATTATATCAGATAATATTATAAAATCATTTTTATTTTCTTATATGAGCAATTCTCGAAATTGCTTCACCTAACTTTCCGGCACCCTTAAGGGTGCACTTACGACTTTCTGACACGCTCAGATAATATCAACATATGTTTAATTTAATGACAAAAAAGTATAATAGCCATGTTAGGAACTAACCTTTTCCCGACAAAAAAATATTAACTTTTTATTATAGAAAATTGGGATATAAAGCTAGGATGTCAAAAAAATTGAGAGCATGTCAGAAAGTGGTAAGTGCACCCTTAAAAAATGCTTGAAAATCTATGAATTTGTCACTTTTCGCAATATTTAATTTTGATTTCATCAAATTCTGTTTTCAGACAAGCTGATCGCCAAACACTTGGAAATATGGATATTGGCTTGCCTGATCCTGATGAAATATATAAATATGAATCAGTTTTATCTCAATTTATTATTCAAACCAACGAAGGAAAGGTCACTGATGAATTACTGCATCAGCTACATTCTAACAGACACTATTTAATGCATTTTCCGAAAGATCGTATTCAAGTTGTCCTTGAAAGTAATTTTATTAAGGCTTTATTCTCATACGACAAAGATTATGAGCATATCAACATTATATTAGATATAATTGCATCATTGATATATGACCAATCCCTATATTTTCCGTCGTTAATTGAAAATGGATTAATAAATTTGTTTACACAGAGCCCATCATGGATTGAATACTTCGTAACCACTGGAAAACAACTACAGACTATATCTATTTTGACAATTGCTAAGTTAATTACTATTTCATTCGTAGATTACGTTGACCAAATCATTTCTCATCCAAAGTTCATGAATTTACTTTTAATTCTCATGAAAAAGCCACAGCAACCATTCGATTGGGAAATACAGAAATATATACTCAGTATTGAGACTTATTATCACATAATTTTACATGAACCATCATATATCAACAAATACTACCGAATATTGTATCCAAGCCTTGAATATTCGTTCAATTCTACAATCGATAAAGTAAAAGAAACAACGCCTCTAATTATTCAATTATTGAAGCGATTTTTTGTTGAAGCTGACTTCATCGAGTGTATTGGCATCGATACAAATAAATTGACGTTTATTTTGTCAGTAATTACTAATGGAAATGACAAAGAAAAAAATTCAATTCTTGATCTTTTAATTGAGATGTCTTCATGGCCACAGATATCATCCCTTTTACTTAAATTAGATTTCATCAACTTTTGTATTGATTTTTCTCATAACAACCAAGAATTTTCAAATTTATTAATTGATGTTGTTTCAAACATGATGAGTCATCCAGATTTGATCGACCACATACTTAACATTGATGGTTTTGTTGATTATCTTGTTGATTCAGTTCTTAATGGAAGTATTAAAGTTTCAATGTCTTGTTGTTTATGTATTTCATGGATTATATACTTCAAAGATCTCGATTATATAGATAAAGTTGTGAGTGACGACGTTTTCGAGACACTTTCTGATTATTTGACAGAAAACTCAGAAAAATACGTTAAAATAATGCTCGCAGCACTTGAACGCGTCCTCAATAAAGAATCTATGGGTGGAAGGAAACGATTTCATCAATTACTTTCCGATGAAACAGTTTACGACCAAATTCACTCATATTTTGATTCTCCTGATGAAGAATTATCATTCACGGCATCAAACATTTTGAAAATGCTCGATGCACAATAATAATATCTTTTATTTTAATAGGGAAAAAAGTTTAACTTTTGATCTGAGAAAATTGGGATATATCATATTCTTTGCGTGTAAACCTTTCAATTCTCTCAAATTTTGAGAGCCAGACGCGAAGAATATTATTTCAAATTAAAATCTTGGGTGTCAAAAAATTGTGAAATTGTCAGAAAGTGGTAAGTGCACGCATAAAATTTCCTCTTTTCTACTGGAACTCTGAGTTCGATAATTTTAAAACTTAAAAAGAAGATTTTCTTCTTCAGGAAAAATTAATTTGATGAATTTCAAGAAAAGAATGTTTTTATTATGATTTAAACAAATAACTATACATGAATGGAACTGCATGAAAATTCCTGAGAAAGAAACCTTCATTTGAACAAATGCATTTTTGAACACATTTGCACTCTGAAGGAGATAACGAAGTAATGATAGCATATCCATGACCTATATTTGTTGAATAACTCAATTCAGGATTGTCAACTTTTATCGAATCTGGCAGATTTTCAATTTCTGGTGTTTTATCCTCAGAATAAACAAAACCAGAACCACCTGCTGATCTAGAACCACCAAATAGGCCACCACCACCTCCTGCATTATAACTATCTGAGTTACTCGCCGAGTAACCATAGCCAAAGCCACCGGATAATGTACCAACATATTGATTACTATAAATTCCAGCATGTGTTTGATTGCCTCCTGTATATGGGGTATTATTGTAATCCCCTCCAATTAATCCGCCACCTGCACCAAAATTACCGCTTCCTGTCCCTCCACCACCTCCTGCAATCAAAAATCTAGATTTATATTCACCTTGTGTTACTCGAAAATCAGTTGCACCTCCCCCTGAATTTGCACGACCTCCCCAGCCCCCACCATTGAAAGCCATTTCTGGTGATTCTGGCCAAACTCCTCCTTTTCCTCCTATATAAAGATATAAAGGTATTTCACGGAGTAATGAAACTTGCATCGCTGCATATCCTCCAAAAGGAAGATATCTTTCATAACCTTCATTTCCACCAGCTGCACCATATACTTCAAAATAGTATTTACCAACTTTAAGATCTAATTGTATTGGTGTACAATGTATGCTATCTTTGCAAGGATAATGAAATTTGCAATTTAAACTATTGCAAACTGGCTGATAGCCATTCCTTAGAAAACTTTCATCAATAAAGGAATATTTCCCGTACTGGAAATCAATTTTCGATGGGGTGATGGCTGTTTTTTAAATAAAAAAATTGAGAATATATTCAAAAATTGAGTCGTTGTTAATTACAAACATTTTGAGGATATCGAACTCTACGAAAAATGCATATAGGGGATTTTATGAGGCTCACAATATATTTGAAGGGGTTTTTCAAATAATTGAGAGTGATTCTATTTGTCCGAAACATCTTTTGGATTGCATAATATCTCAAATGATTTATTTTCCCCTAATGGCCTTTTGCAAACAAAGAAATTTCATTTTTCTAAAAACACAATGCAAAACCTACTTTTTATTCAATATAACTGTGTGTTTATCGGAATAATTAATTTCTTTTGGAAAAATAATTTTCTTGATTGTTTTTTACAGAGTTTACTTTAAATATAAAAGTTGTCGGGTTCTGGGTTTATGATATAATATTCCCACAAAGAGCTTAATGCCCTCAATGTCATCACATTGTGAAGATTTTGAAAATTATTGATGACTGGCAATTCGTTATAATAAGAAGAAACTGATCCTATATTTAAATTTTGGAAATTACAGGTATGTGATTAAAGCTCAGATCTGAAGTTTTGAAATTGAATTGTTGATCATCATGGATAATTTTTTATCAATATCCAATATTCGTATCTATAGGTTATTCTATATAATGATTTATGATTAAAACAAAGCAAGACGTAGTGTTCCTGATTGGAACAATATAGAAAGGATAAGTTAATCACACTTACTACCATATCCATTATTTTTGCTTTTATGGCTAATCCATATTCAAGATTTCCCTTTTAAACTTTAATTTAATTAATCAACACACATAGGGTAAATTCATTTGAAACGAGAGTGCTATCCATACACCCTGATAATAGCTATGTATTCATGTGGATATGGCAGATTTAAAGATGTTGTTCAATTATTTTTGAATTTAAAATTGGTGTCTCTGAAATGAATTTTGACAAGGATCCGACCATTTTCTTTTCAATTCCAAAAAAATAAGAATATTATTATCATTGATAATTTTATGAGTTCAACCCGTTATTGATTTAATTATTTCAATTGTTTACGCTCTCACAAATAAAATTTTTCAAAAAAATGAAGCGACAAAATAAGTATTTCAGGCAAGCCAGAACTCCAGATCCACGTAATCAAGGTAATAGTCCACATATTCGTGGCCAAGGTGACTTTCCGAAGCTTAATTTAACTCCATGCAAGTTTTGGAAACTCGGTAAGTGCGATTGGGGATGGTCATGTCGTTTTCTTCATGGAGATTCAGTAGATGAAGATCCGCGTCGTCCTGAATATACTGGTCCACCCATTGATTTTACTCAATTTCCTAGACCAGTTGTTTCTTCTCCACATTATAATGCTCAATCACCACTCCATGCTGAAGATCAATCACGTGTAAAGCCATTTCGAAATCCAGTTGTTGAGATTATTTTGGCAAACACAACATTTAAATCGCAATTTTCAAGAATTCGCGATACTCTTAGCAGCAGCTGCATAGATACATTATCGTCAACTGATATGTTCCTTAATGCTGAACAAGCAAAGGCCAGAATGGAAGAAGATCAAAGTGATTACATTTTGTTTGTAGATCAGTCTGGATATACTATAATTCCTGATTACATACAATGTCCATTACAAAATGTGGCCCAAATTATAAATCTTAATTGGGCGGCAAAATGTAATAATTTTACACTCGAACAGCTCGAGTTATTGACAAATCATGAATTAGAACAAGTCATTCTGAGGATTGCTCCTGATTCTTTAGACAATATCGAGGAAACAATCCTCAATTTACAAAATTCAACAGCAGACGCCATTGCTTCATCAACTACAGCCACATGCGCAGTCAATACTAAGGATGTAATGGAAATCAAGCGAAAATTACAAGAGTTTTTCTCTCAATTAAATCTTGTAAATACAATTATCGCAGATATGCCGATTTACTTGAATGCTGAGCCGCAGAAAGGAAAGATAGTTCAAGTTAAACCACCTCCACCAGGTGGATTGTCTTCTTCTACTCAAAAAGTGCTCTCATTTATCATGGGTCGGTCATTATCTCAAATTCACATGTGCATTCACCACATCAATAAGTTACTTGGATGCGTAACACCCGCCAAAACTGTTTTTGCATCCCCTGACATCAAGTCGGCCGGTCTGCATCCAACACCATTAAGTGCTTCACTTTGTTCGGCTATTTGTGGCGAAGAAACAGCTCCAAGAGTAGAGTTCGGAAGGAGACTCGAACCGGAAGTGACTGTTGACACGCCTACTCAGTACACGATATCCTTTAGGAGTAGTATGAATACTGGATATCCTCCATTTGAATATGGACTTCAATAATGATATTATTGTTCGAAATATTCTATAATAGAGTGTTGTTTTCTATATCAATTGGGTTTATTTTTATATTAATATAATAAATAGTATAATCATTTATCGAAAATTTTCATATTTTTTAAATATTTTTTTTCAATTTCAATGAAAAATGCAAATTATGAACTCATACAATCAGGAAACACAAATTTGTGTGGAATCATGTAACGTAAAAGAAAAGAATACAAACTCAAAACAATCATTCGATAAATTTTCAAATAATTGGGATAAATAGTAACACTATGAGTGCTGTTTATAGATATAATAGATTTGTATTAAAAGATTATTGTGATTTCAGATCGTTCTTTGTTGATTACGAATAAAAAACTTTAAATGTAAATGTTTTGGACTAGTTTTAGAAAAGATTTTTGAAATTGTGCTGAAATTCTTGATTGTGAAGCCTTTGTTCATTGATTAATTTGAAAATACATTTATAAAGTGGAATTAGGTTCAGGAACGACAAGTACCACCCCTGATCAAGTAACCCGTACAATATTAAGCTCTGAAAAAATTCTTTAAAAAAATGCAAATTTAAGAAAATGATTCGAATCCTAACATTTTTCATCATGAAAAAATAATTTGTCAATTTTTTTTTGAAATTAATATTATCAAAATTTATTTTTCGAGCGAATTTTCTTATCAAAATAAGAAATAAAATAATGGAAACGACAATATTTTTAGTACATTTTTGATATTTTGCATTTAAACATTGCCTTTATATATTATTTAAATTCAATTTTTTTTCCATTCATGGGTTATATATATATGAAGAAATAAGCTTTGTAACTTCATCACAAACATCTTTTCGAAACAAGAATAAATATTAATGAAGAAATAAGTTTAGTCAACATCAAGAGATTTTAATAATAATAAAAGCTGATATCATATTTAAATCATGGCTTCCATTTGCTTATTAGAGTCACTGCTCGAGATGTTGTCGCCTTGTTGGTTCAATTCTTTTTCTTCTTGTGCCTTTAATTCTGATCTCATAACTATTTCCATGAAAACTTTTTCCAATGTTGAACATGAGCAAGTGAAAAATTTGATGCCAATTTCGCTGTCTTTTCCTCTCCGAAGGATTTCAAAAAGATCTGTAATAGAAACGCTCTGACTCGGGACTGAATATATCATTGAACCTTTCCTTTCAATTGAAATAACAGCAGAAGGAATATTTATTGCAATGAAGTTCTTAACTTTTTCACTTTCGTTTTTATCTCCAGAATTTAACAGCAAATCAATCTTCCATTCAGTTCCAAACTTGTTTGACAAGTATTGTGGTGTTCCAACTGTAAATATACAGCCACTAACCATGGTTACAATCATGATTGAAATGTTATCACACAAGCTTTCCGCTTCATCCAACAAATGTGTGCATAACATGAAAGTTCTTTCTCCTTTGTACTGGTTGATCAACTCATGCATATGATGTCTTGCAATTGGATCCAAAGAAGATGTTGGTTCATCTAATAAAATAGTTTTATAATCTGATAAGAATGGAATTGATGCAGCACATTTTCTTCTATTTCCTCCTGACATATCTTTAATCCTTTTGTCGACATGCTGAGAATAATCCATAACTTCAACTATTCTTTTTATCAATTCATTAGCTTCCATTCCACTCTTATTAAACAAATAGCAGAAGAATTTCATATTCTGACGTCCAGTTAATTGTTCTGTCAAATGATCATCAAATTGAGGACAAACTGCAACATTTGTAATTTTAGATGTTTCAACATTTTGACCGTTGATTTCAATTGTACCACTTGAAATAGGAATTTCTTTAAGTATCATTTTCATCAATGTTGTCTTTCCAGCACCATTTGATTCCAAGAAACCGAAAATTGATTTGTCCTTAATACCTAATGACACTTGATTAACAGCGCAAATTGGCTGACCTTTTGTATCTTTGAATATTTTAGAAATATTGAATATTCTTATTGCATAATCATTTGGTTGATCTCTTACATTGTTTTCAATTTGAATGGATTCTTCAGTGATTTGGAGATTTTCTTTTATCGCATGAAAATCATCGATATGTGATTCAAATGACATTTTTGATATCTTATGACTGATTACCTTCACCAAAAATTCAACAAGCCAAATGATCAATGGGTAAACAAATACAGATGCATACATTATATTTAAAACATATTTTCCTTGTTTGAAGAAATCAATATTCTTTGGTAAATCTGGATAATATAATGAAAATGTTTTTGAAATCATCCAAAAAGCTCCAAACCAATTTCCGAAAGGACAAATCAATGTTAATATTGAATAAACTGCTGGGTATTTCTTTTCTTCAATTGAGAATGAAGTAATTAAGATTGTCATAAGAATTGACAAGTTTGAAATAGTGAAAACAATTGCACCTGCATTTCCTTTGATAAGAAATGACCAAAAATATGAATAGAAGAGTGGTAAAATCGAGCAGAACCAATTAAAGAACAGTGTTTTGGCTACAAACATCTTGAAAAATAATATTCCTATCGAATAATAAATAACAAAAACGCAAATTGAAAAGATTGTCATGATTATTAAATCAATAATAACGATTCCTGTCAATAAGTAAATCTAGAAGTCCACATATGATATATATTCGAACAGGTGTTTAATATCTTGAATTTTTTATGCACAAAATTGGCTGCAATTATTACTAAGGCAAATGCATGAATAAGGCAAAGATCAATTCATATGTTGATTCAATATTAGTATCTATAACAAACTGTCTTTCATCATGAACAGTTAATGAACATCAACATCCTTTTTCTCCAGTTCATCAAACAAAATTTCAATAATGCTCCTATTAAAGTTTCAAAGCTGTTTAATATTGTTAAGTTGTAAAGAAATCTAAGATTTAATTCTCCTTCTGGAACATCATTTTCTTTAATTATTGATGAATTTTCATATACTTGGAATGCTAATGGTATATTAGATAACTTTGTTGGATCTATAACCCTCTCGAATTGATAATCATTAAAATCTTCAAAATTATCAAAATCAATATAATTTAAATCAGCGTTAAGTCTCTTTTTGATGAAATAAGAAAACTTTTCTGATAATCTGTTCTGAATATCGTCGCATTTTGTGCAATTTTTAATAGATATCCTTCCAAATGTTAAATTATTTGGATCAAAATTGGTAAATTCCAATCCTTGCACGCGACGAGGTTTTACTATCCCATGAATCAATATTGCAATAATTCCAACAAGGCCAGCAACTAATAAAGAAAAAATAAAATTGATCAAAAAAGAAAACTTAGAGTTCCAATATACAAGCAGCCTCCTGTACATGACTCCCGTGAGTTGATTCTTAAACAATTTCACGTTCATGATATAATGGTTTTAATTGAAATGATGTAAAAAATTGAAAGCTATATTTATTGAAATGAAGTAAAAAATTTCGGATTAAATTAACAACAATGATTAGATGATTAAATTGAAACAGTATTCAGTATCGTTTTTCAGAAATACTTCACCGTAAACTTCCAATTCAAAATTTCTGAAAATTTGTGTTATGTCAACGGTGATGTTTAATAATTGAATACTTAACCATTAAATGAGAGAATCATCTCTTCAAGATGAGCTTATTGCAAAGCCTGGATGGTATACCAGCAATGCCCAGCTCCGTATTTATAAGGCTTACTTGAAAATATTGTTCGATATCCGTTTTCACAGACTTGGATTTTATATATCAACATGTTTTGGCATATTAATGATATTATTATGTCTAACAATACCAACAAAGTCTGATGCAATGAACACAAAAGACGAAAAAGGACATTATAAAGAATTTGATTCCTGGTCTGTTAGAGAAGATATTAAGGATTTTTCTTCGATTGAAGACTTTTATGAATTCCGCTCAATTTATTATCCAAGAAATGATTTAACAACTTTTCTTGCAAATTATTCAAATTATAGTAGGATTTTCGATGATGAAAGCGAATTTGACAACTATTCAACCTATACAGAATTAATGTCTATCAAAGTAGACAAGAAAGAGAAGTATTTCTATAATATTTCAACAAACCTAAATATTACTAAAAATGCTTGGTTCGGAGGTAGCTCTTTTAGTGAATTTACTGACACATTTGTAAAAGAGATCACGAGAATGATATCAAAAGTTAGGTACAATTATTATGGGCACACAATGTCTTCTTTTGAGAGAACAAATTTCATTTATGTTTTTATTGAATGGCTTGTTACAACAGAAATCACAGTTTCATTCATTAGAAACAATAAGAATTACTGAAAAAGTGACAAAACATCAAAAACAGGGAGGGTAGTAGTAGTATATGAAGGATTTAGTGACTTTTTTTGTAAACGTAAGAATTCATACAATATCGAGTGATTTTGTATCATTTTTTTTAACATATGAAGTAAAAAATGTATGATTCTTACGGTTTTTATTCTTACGTTTTTGAATAAATCAAGATTTAAAAAATTTTCAAAATTGTAAGACATTTACACTCAGCCCATACATAATGAAATAAAAAATAAAAAATTTTTTAAAAAATAAATCATTAAAAAATTAACATTAATTTTAAAATATATTTATTTATAAATCATTAAAAGAAGCTATATATAGACGATGTCAGATATTCCGCGATTAATTAAACATTGTTTAAATCCTGAATGGAATCAATGGTGTCATAATCAAAGACCTCATAAACTTCTTACGAAAAATTAAAACTTAGTTATGTTTATTATTTTATTTTTTTATTTTGTATGAAATGAGCGTCAAAACTAACAACGTTAAAAAATTAGGATTCACAAACGAGGAAATAAAGGATATATTAGAGAAGGTGGGTTATGAAGTTGATAAATATTATTTAAGAAATTGTAAAAAATTCGCGGAGTTATTAAATGATTTAGATTATGATGGAAAAATGAATAAAGATGATGTTATAAATTTCTTATATCCCACATCTGAAGAAGAAAAACCTAAAGAACCTGATGTTTTCCCCGAATATTATGAAGAACGAATTAAAGATGATGAATACGATGAAATTGAAAGACTGGAAAAAATAAGAGATGAAATAGATGAAAAAATTAAGGAATTAAGAGAAGTTGAAAAATATAATGAAAATGAAGTAGAGGGTTTAATGAATATCCCAGCTTCAGAATCAGAAGTACAGAAATCTCATGAAGAAAGATATAACAATTATGTCTCAGAATCAACACAAAATTTATTAGATGGTGAAATAGACGAAACACTTTCAGAAGAAGGTACTAAATTTATTCGTAAACATAAGTTACAATTTATTGATAATGAAGAATACCCCTGTATCCTACTTTCACCCCCTCTCGATTCTGAGAAATTCAAAAAAGCTCTTAAAAACGTGACATATGCAACTAATACGATTAAGAAAGAAGATCATGATATTTACACAAATTATTATTTAAATAAATGCACAGGTGTTGATAAAGTTTTTGATTTATTAGATAAAATATCAAAAGAAACCATTGGAACATATAAAATTTTATGTGATTGCGGTTTCATTGTTGAAGATACTAATAATGTTTCATATGAAAGAACAGCACCGAAGGAAGCTGAAGTGGAAAGGTCTATACCATTCGTTATTAAGAATATAAAAGATATGAAAACTTATAAACATTATATTTATTCATTTATTTCAGAAAAAATGGAAGCAACCCATAAAACATCTTCTCATAATTTTATAACTATTCATACATTCCTTTTCAAAGTTGTGAAATTAAATAAGACAGGAATTAGATTTAATGTATCAGGGTACGCATTCTTGAGTAAATTAAAATGTATTCGTCACGTCGCAGATGATAAAAATTTATGTGTTCTTAATTCATTTTACGGACTTTAAAAAAATAAACTTTATTTTTATTTTTTAATTTTTTATTCTTACATAAATGAACAAAAACGGAACAGCTAAAATGAATGATAATCAAATTAGAGCAGAAGGTAGAAGGTTATTTAAACGCTTCTATAACATTCCTGATGGCGTTAATCCTAAAACTCGTAGAAGCTATTTAAATGAAGCAATAGATGCATATGAAGGGTTTGACATTTCATCAGAAAGTGAGAGATTAGCGAGAATGTTAAATGTTAATATTGATTTCTATTATTGTGATCCTCAACCAGAAGACGTGGACATAAATAAGGTAGACTTTCCATTAGTGGAATCAACAATGATAGATCCAGAATTTGAAACAGTAAATATTTTATTAACACAGAGTCCATGTGGAAAACTTCACGCTGACAGAATAACAGACGTTGAAGCACTCACCGGCTATAAAGTTTGTCCATATTGTAAAGAAGAAGTTTATTCTATCCGTGATGATCCAGAAAGGAAAAACCAAAGAAGATTTTTAAAGCATTGTGAGAAATGTAAAGAAAATAATGGAAGATTAATTCAAGACGTTCAGTTGCAAAAGACACAGCAACCATATGCACCACATATTACGAAACAGAAGATATATCAGTGGTTATTAGCTCACAATTTGCAGGAATATTATAAACCGACAAGATATTATATTACTTTTGACTTTGAAACATTAGAGACTAAAGAAGAATTACAACTTTCTGTGTGTGCAACTTTGAACGCTTACTTAAAACCATTCATGGTATCATCAACGGTTAAATTAAATGATAAAACATATACAAGGAATTTTTGCTTAACTTCGAGTGATTCTTTTATTTCTGATTGGATTGAATTTTTATTTTCAACCTGTTCATTAGTTGTTGAATCAAATATGAGTCAATACAATGAATTATTGAAGCCACAAACGGCGGGGACTTTGTCCCATACATTAAATGAAAAACAGAAGGAAGCATTTAAAGAACTTCTAGATGAGGAATTCAATAAAGTGAATATCATAGATTTTAATTCGGGAAAGTTTGATTTAAATTTAATTCTTCATGATTTAAACACTGCAAAATGGAAAATAAAATCAATGCTGGGTTCATCTTCACAATTTAAGCAAATCATTGTAAAGAAAACAAACGTTCCATATGAATTGAGATTTATTGACATCAGAAATTATATAGCGGGTGGGACATTAGACCAATTCACTCAAGATTTCGGAAACAATAAATCACGTGTTAAATCCTTTTTCCCTTATCAATTTATCACATGGGAGAATTCCGAAGAAGAATTATATAAAGAGGAACCATTCACGAAAGATTCATTTTATTCAGCATTAACTCAAGAAACTATATCAGATAGTGATTATCAAATATATCTCAATGATGCTAAAAATTTTAAGAATAGATTAGAATATTTTATTCATTATTGTAATAAAGATGTTGAAATTATGATTGACCCAATCGATAAAATTATTGAAGAAACATTTGTTTATAAAATTTATATGCTTCATAATCTTTCTTTATCATCGAATGCTTCAATGATTCGTTACGCTTTAGCATATAAAGACTTTAATCCTAATGAAAAATATCCTGAGGAAGAGATAGAATCAAGTTTTGAATTAATGAAA